GAAGGATGGAAGGCTGAGTCAACCTTGAGCCAGTGAGATTAGAACCCCTGAACTACAGATAACAGTCAGCTGAAGTGGCCTGCAGTACTGCACCCTAACCACTGTGCCACCTCGGCTCTTTTGTAACCGTGTAACTTTTGTTAGTATACTAAGATACTTCTTAAATGGCACATTGCATTGAGGTATCAAATTATGCAAATATGAAAAGGTCACTCATCCTAATCTCGTATATAGATAGAGCAGAAGAGGAAGCTGCAACCGAAAATATATTTAAATCCTGAGAAATTAGAAAGCAAAACAAAGGAATTCGAAACAACTGTTCCTTGATGGGCTAGGTATAAGTTGAAATAGAGGAGAACTTGTCAGGCTTTCAAGATTGAGTTGCAATGCCCTAACTACAGGCCCCAATTTGGGATTCATTTTGGCCATTCTGAAATAGCTTCCAGGACATCATCAGATGGCCTTGTACTGTATAAAAAGGTGATGGGTGCATCAGCTGATTGTCCTTCACAAAACAATCTCTTCATGGAGATGGACTCAAAAAGCAATCCATGATTCTGTGCTGCCAGGACTCTGGTTCACTCTCAAAGAGTTGCCACTAGAAGAATTTGTTCTCAAAGAGCCGTCTGCTGGATGCCCATTCCATCAGTGATTTAATGGTTATCTACCCATATTTTATTTTCTCTCTCTCTCTCACACACACACACAGACACACGTTTATGAAAGAAAAAAGAAAGAAAATTCTTCTTTAGATCTCTCTTAGCTGTTTTCTCCAGATATATGAATTAGATAGTCTGATATTTTTGGTAAGAATATAGTCATTTATCTGCATGATATTTTGATCCCCCTCCCCCCCCCCAAAAAGACCATTCTCTATCTTCATGTCAGGAATGTTTTCAATACCTATGCCAAAACAAACTGCATGGTAACTTGGAAATGTAACTTTGATCTTCCTCAATTAAATGATCTGGTTGATTGGATTTTTATGGAAGGTATGCAGGTAGAACATTCAAACATTCAGGTTTCCAATGTGTGGCTTTCAATTTTGGAATTTGCCAACATTTTACAAAATATTAATCTCTGTATAGAGAACACTAGGCCATTAATTCAACTTCTGAAAAACGGATTGCCAATTTAAATAGTCTATTCTACAAGAAGGCATCTTTCAGGTCTTGACCCTCTTTTCATTTCAACTGCTTCTCAAACATCTGGATTTTTTGGAACTTTGTCTAGAGTATGAACAGATATTAACGATGCCATATTGTCTTTGGGTCAGAGCTGTAATACTAAGTTGGCTAAATTGCTCCAGACCATATTTTTCAGGGCAAAGGTTTATCAAATACATAATCCTGAATTAGGGTTGTTAATTTGCATCCAGATATTGGAAAGTCCTCTATCACATTCTAGTTATTTACATTCATTTGTCGCTATCTCATTTCCCAGTCAAACAGGAAATTAGAGAAGACGAAATGTTGAAACCATTTTTGTATTGTTAGTTTCTATAAAGATATGTTTGGAGAGAATCTTGATGAAGGAATGTATAAGTCATTAAGAAAAATGACAATTCAGTTCTAGGAAAACACTATGAACCCCAAATAATCCCACAATAATTCTGTTTGGTGTAAAAGGAGGCAGAGGGAAATTCTAGCAGGCCTTTAAAGTTTTATTATTATAGCTTACAACAATGAAGTAGCATTCCTATATTCCTGGCAATGTCTGTTTCCTGACCTGGTCTACCTTGAACTTCTGACAGTTTCTTATCAATGGGACAATTAGCTTGATTTCTTGTCATTTGCAGAATTTACATATGAAAACTATCTGCACTCCTCTATGTTTCCCTCTCAAACAGTTTATGACCCATTAAGCAGTTTATAGAAACAATCCTCTCTGCTTGCTTTAAAAATCTTGTCTCTATGGTTCCATAACTCCCTGATTTCCTCCAAGACATAGATGGCACAGTTACTTTTAAAAGAACAGTCAGATCTGGCTCTAACTGTGTATAAACATATAGCAGGTACATATACATAGGCAGGAAGACACTAAGATTGCTGTAGGAGATTTAGTTTAGCTATCCATAACGTTTTTTAAAAAACTTTTCTGCAATCTATCCAAGAAATAAGTCTCAACGTTTATAGGCCTATTCCCTATCATAGATCAGTACAGCCTGGCGGTTATCCATTTGCAAACTCAGACAACATAGATTTTACAATTCTGTTTGTCTATGGAGGTTCCCAGTCTCCAGGTCATGGTTGTCCCAAAGGTGCTTTTTCAATAGACAGCTGGACTTCCTTTGTTTTTCCTTGAAAATATTTCAATTCTCATCCAAGAACCTTCTTCAGTTCTGAACATTTTGATTTTTTTCTCCATGAGTCCTTTTTTCAACTTAAAGTGCAAAACCTGATCAAAGACTTAACTCTTCTTAATTATTTGATTTTCAAATAGAAATTGATGAGAAGATATGTTCCCAAATTTGACTATTTCCTGCTGCATTTCAATTTCTAAAGTACTTGGGGAATTACAATGAAATGTGATTTAAGTACTATCCCTAGATCTTTAACTTTACAGTATTTCACAGCCACAAGCTAAATCAAAGGATTCATGGAACATAAATTCTCAAACAGGTATTTTTGCATGTAAGGTAATTAAGTACAAAGTAAAAATGTGCCATTTGGTGATTAGTAAAAATTGAGATCTTTCACACCAGGCCTACAAAACTTCTATTACAAAACTCACTTACCTAAAGCTGCTTCAGAGTTTGTCTTTATTATACAACAGAAGTCAGCAATTGGCTGTTCTGTGAATCTTTTCTTCCAGTACAATACATACCTTCAGGGGAGAAAAATAAGAAAAAAATATAGACAACTCTATAAATGTCTTACTATACAATTAATTAATTCTATTAACATTTAAATAAATAATTCTCCTTGCAGTATTTGGAAACTTCATTAGTACTAAGTCTTCTATGAAGGCATTTCTTCAAACTAAACACTTCTGTTTAGCCATAATAATATACCCGACATATGGATTAAGATACAAATTGAGAATATTTTGCTAAACATTTTTCAGATGAACAGTTTACACGCAGATCCCAGACATTATGCCTGGAATTTGTTTTTAAACATGGGAAGCTTATCGTGTTAAATAACCCAACTATTTAAGGATTTTATTTGCTCTACATTCTTTCTTTCTATGTTTTTTTTGCTTTAAGTCTTGATATTGCCTAAGAAATAAATGGGATCCTTTGTGCAAGCTTCATCTCAAGCCTTTGAAAAATGTATGCTGTTATGAATGCTGATCCTTACTTAGCAGTTTAATTATCCAACAAAATATCGAAAAGCTGCAGGAGCCAGCTTTATGCCACAATACCATGTGCTACCATATGGTCATTCTAAGAAGTGAACTTCTGGATGTACTTATACTAGAAATACAATATGCAAAGAAAAGGAAAAATGAATCAAATATTCCTAGACAACCTTTATAAAACATATACAAAAATCTTCGTTAGAAAACTTGAAAACTATAATTTGTATTTTAATTTGTACAAGAGAAGTGAAAGTAGGCAATTCTATTTGCTCATGCCAATTTAAAATGCACAAGACACATTATATCTGTTGAATTCCAGCTATTTTATCCTTTGTATAAATGAATATTTGTCCCATCAAGTCTAATCCTTCTTCAATCTTTCCACACTAGAATGTTTTCTTCTAAAGTTTTATTTAAAGTTTTGTATATTTTCAATCTTTTAAGTTTGAGGAATATTCACTAGTTTCTACAAAATCCTTGGTAAATTTCTGAACATTCAGTAATTCTAATTTCTCATAATTAACACATAATGCTGACACCAATGCAAAACTTTAGTTTTATTTTAAAAGTTTTAAATAAGTTTTAGTAAATGGGCTTATAGGTCACTCTTACAAATGATTTTTTAAAAAAGTAATTTGTACCGCATTAACTACTGTATGTCCAATATCATATCATCAACAAAAACTTTTAGGAATTATTCTTCATTAACTTTCATATTTTGATATATGCATCAGTACATAGAATTGAAACTAAATTTAACCCTTTACAATGATAATGAATCAAATGTGTTTATATGTATATGTTAATAAGCAGCCTGTTTCTTCCCTTTCTCTAACTCCTTAGTAATATATTGTCAGAGAAAGTACTGATCTGAAATTTGGAATAAGATCTCCTTTAGGAAGAAGTTTAGTTTGTTTTAAACATATTATTTTAATTGGCTATCAATTTGTATAAATTTTGTATCTGTGTTTAGTAATTGAATTGGGTTATAAAATTGAATAGATATGTATGCATATTTTCCTTGTTTAAAGCATAATTGTCAGATCCGTGTATCTGCTATTCTTCGATGGACGAAGAGGTTTCCCCTTTGATCGGATCTTCAAACATCCGTCTGAAATGCTGGCAGAAGCCCTGGAAGTCATCCAACAAAGGGCTCTGCTGCACTAACAAGGGAGTGGCCCACCGGGCAGCTGTGCCTGAGAGCAAACTAATCATGAATCCCACCTTTGTCCGGTCAGTGGGAAAGTCCTCCGCTCTCAGGCTCAGGAACAGCTGGCATTGTCCCAGAAATGTGGCAAACATAGCCAG